GGCAACCTCTTTTTGCGAGGTCTCCCTGGGCCCCTCCCTCCCGGAGGAGCCCTGCCTCCCGCCTTGGTCCGCTCCTGCCTGGGACCCTGCCTGGAGCTGCCAGACCCCTGCTCAAGCACAACGGGTCATGGTAGAAGGCACACAAAGCCCACCACGCCTCCCAAACAAGCAACATCAGCAATGCAGCCCCCCATCCCAAACCTCTGACTTCCTTCCAAGCAAGTGATCCAGATCCCCAACCAGCCCTTGGCGAAGGCGGCAGCGGGCCCCAATCCCAAACCTCTCACTTTCTGGCCTCCCACAATCCATCACAAGGCCACCACGCCTGCCAAACCAGATGCAGCATCAGCAAGGGCGAAGGCGGCAGCAACCCCCATCCCAAACCTGTGACTTCAGGCCCTTCAAGCAAGTTTTCCAAATCCCCAACCAGGATGCAGCATCGCCAAGGGCAAAGGCGGCAGCCAACCCCAATCCCAAACCTCTGATTTTTGGCCTTCCCAGAAGCCCTCGAATGATAGACATCATCCCTTGCAACGCCCAGGAGGCACGCGCCTGGGTGCTTTCAGCACCAGCCCGCCCGAGACACCCTAAACCCTAAACCCCAAAAGTTTAGGGCTCAGGGCTTAGGGTTTAGGAAGCAGGGTTTGGCTTTCGCTGACTCAAATAGCAATACCTAGCTAGGTTCTGCATTCCGTGCAGGCTTTTTCTCTCGGACCCCTTATAGAAGAACTTAAGTCAGCCTGTATGCCTACGTCCTAACCCTAAACCCCAAACCCCAAACGCTAAACCCTTGCAAGGAGCTCTTCGAGTACATCTTAAAGAGCTTCACTCCACTCGAAGCGTGAGCCGGGCGCTGCTTAGGGCTTTTGGGTTTAGGTAGGGTTTGGGGTTTGGGGTTTGGGGTTTGGGGTTTGGGGTTTGGGGTTTGGGGTTTGGGGTTTGGGGTTTGGGGTTTGGGGTTTGGGGTTTGGGGGTTGGGGTTGGGGTTTGGGGTTTGGGGTTTGGGGTTGGGGGTTTGGGGGTTTGGGGGTTTGGTTGTTTGGGGTTTGGGGTTTGGGGTTTGGGGTTTGGGGTTTTGGGGTGTGGGGGTTTGGGGTTTTTTGGGGGTTTGGGGGTTGGGTGGGGGGTGTTGGGGTTTTGGGGTTTGGGGGGGTGGGGGGGGGGGGGGGGGGGGGGGGGGGGGGGGGGGGGGGGGGTGGGGGTCGTTTGCTGCTCTTGGCGTCACAGGTAGCCCTGCCCCCTAAACCTAGGGAATACTCCTTCGGAGGGTTTAGGGTTTAGGGTTTATAAGGGTTTATGGTTTAGGTTTAGGGTTTAGCGTTTAGGGTTTAGGGTTTATGGTCCCCAAAACCCTACATACTTCAGACTCCACTGTCATCCACGCCAGGCAGCCGAACCGCACTAGCGAGGAGGCTCCCGGAAATCAGCAGCGGTCCAGTGGTTTAGTGAAGTGGGTTCCGGGTTTAGGGTTTAGGGTTTAGGGTTTAGGGTTTAGGGTTTAGGGTTTAGGGTTTAGGGTTTAGGGGGTTTTGGGTTTTAGCTTCAAGGGCCCAGGCCTCATAGGGCAGATTGGAGGCACCTCCTGGGATTCGCGCTGCACGGAAATGAACCCCCTAAACCCTAAACCCTAAACCCTAAACCCTAAACCCTAAACCCTAAATCACCCTTTAAGTAAAGTCGCCACCCGCGCTTGCTTCAAGCATTCACTGCGCAAGACAGGAGCTGCGCTGCTCATGATCGAGCTAGGTTGTGCGAAGGGCTAAAATGTTATTTTCTCTATTTACACATATATATATATAGATGCCCAATCTCTACCCTAACCCCTCAACCCTAAACGGGTACAACTGGGATCGATCAGACTGCCGTCCTGTGTGGCCGGAGATGTTTAGTGCAGGGTTGAGGGTTCAAAAGGTTTGGTGCTTAGACCGTGCGTCGCGAAGCGCAGGAATTCTCGATGCCACATTTTCCCTGTATTTCGTGGTATTCCTCTAATCCCTGTAGGATTGAGGGTTCAAAGCTAAAAGCCTAATCAACTCCGCATTGATAAGCCATAACCTTAAACTCAGCCCTAAACCCTAAACCCTAAACCCTAAACCCTAAACCCTAAACCCCCTAAACCCAGCCCCATATGGCGCTTGTGGAGGTTCCTGCCTCCGCAGCGCGGGTTGCTCCGGCGGAAGCCAATGAGGGAGCTCTCTGAGGCAACCTTATACCTTAACCCTAAACCCTAAACCCTAAGCCCTGAACCCTAAACCCTAAACCCGAAACCCTAAACCCTAAACCCTAAACCCTATACCCTTGGTAGCCCAGTGGTACCCTTTAAAGGGTGTTGAAGTACGGGCCCTCCTAAATTCCAAACCCTCCGAAGCCTTAAGCCTTAAGCCTTAAGCCTTAAGCCTTAAGCCTTGGGTTCTACAGGGTACTTTATGAGCTGTATATAAGACTTCCGCAATTGAATTACGAGACCATGGAACTACCCTCTAGGTGACCCAGTGGTACCCTTTGCCTTTTTTTTTCTGGTTCTGGGTTCCCTTATAAAGTAATCCTCTAAACCCTAAACCCTAAACCCTAGACCCTAAACCCTAAATCAACCAAAGACAGGGTGCCCTTATCACATCCACCCTAGGCGTTTGCCCTGTCGATCCTAGTCTTTAGAGCAGGCATCAATGGGGCACTTGGTGCTTTATGTAGGGTTTTGATGTTTAGGGCTTTAGGGCTGTTTAGGGTTTAGGGTTTAGCGTTTAAGGGTTAAGGTTTAGGGGTTAGGGTTTAGGGGTGCTTATAGAGGTTGGGCTCTTGAGGGCTTGTGGCTCCGGAAGCATTCGACCCTCGATCCTGAACCAAACGACGGTGTACGTGGGCTAATGGAGATTCTTAATCATATTACAAGCCCCAAAGCCTGCCAAACCTTAAACCCCAAAACGCCATCCCAAAACCCCAAACCTTAGACCTAAACCCTATAAACCCTGAACCCTAAAACCCTAAACCCCAAACCCCAAACCCTAAACCCTAAACCCCAAACAATCCCAAGAGACTCTAATCCCCAGACCCTCAACCACTCCCAAGACCCTATGAATCCTGAACCCTAACCTCTCAACTCTACCCCTTCTCAAACCCTAAACCCCAAACCTTAAACTCTAGCCCCTCAACCCTAAACCCTAAACCCTACACCCTACCGTGGCCAGACCCTGACCACCTTAAGGCACAGACTGCCAGTGAGTGTCTGTTCGGACGGACAGGCCTACAGCACGAGCCGACATAAGTGTCTCAGCTAGGGCTGATAAGGCTTATTGACCCGTTAGTTCAAGCTCAAGGCCCTTCCCCCGTGGGGTTTAGGGTTTAGGGTTTAGGGTTTAGGGTTTAGGGTTTAGGGTTTAGGGTTTAGGGTTTAGGGTTTGGGGCTGATAAGGCTTATAGGGTCTACGGTGACAGGGTCTATAGAGTCTGTAGGGTTTATAGGGTTCGTAGGGTGTATAGGGTTTATAGCGTTTATAGACTTTGTAGGGTTTATAGGGCATGAAAGGGTTTATAGAGTTTATAGGATTAATAAGGTTTATAGAGTTTATAGGGATAATACGGTTTATATGGTTTGTAGGTTTTGGTGTGTATAGGGTTTATAGGGTTCAGGATGAGGGTTTAGGGTTTTTTATAGGGTCTTGGGAAAAACTTTGCACATAGGCTCACGGTTGAGGGCTGCTTGGAGGTGTAGGGCCTGACGTATGGTCACTGTTTAGGGTTTAGGGATTGGGACTAGGATTCTCTAAAATGTGATCCATTTCGGGGTCCTTACTATAAAGCCCCATTGTTTCGCGTACCCAGAAAGGGTTTAGGGGCTGGAGTTACCTAATTTAGAGAACTGGGTTTAGGGTTTAGGGTTTAGGGGTTAGCGAGACTACTGCACGCAGGCACGTGCAATTTTCGACGGACTCAACTTTTCGGCCAGCCGCGGGCGGGAAAGCATCGACACCCTAAACCCTAAACCTGATAAACCCTAAACCCTTGTAAACCCTAAACCCTTATAATTCCTAAACCCTTAGACACCCTAAGCCCCTGAACCCCTAAACCCTTATACACCCGAAACCCCTAAACCCTTGTAAGCCCTGAGTCCCACTGTTTCGGTTTGGGGCTTAGGGTTTGCCGGTATAGCTAGGGTTTGGGGCTTAGAGGCATGTGTGGGGAGCAGCCCTCCATCCACAACCCGAAAGCCCTTCAAAGTTTTTGAGCAGGCTTTAGGGTTTAGGGTTCAGGTTTTAGGGGTTTAGGGTTTAGGGTTCAGGGTTTAGGGTTAAGGGATTAGGGTTGCGCCTCTCAAAGCTCCCTCGTCCCTAAGTGCAGGGTCTAAACCCTTGTTGCGCGTCGGACTGTGAATCCGAAGCCGATTGTTCGTGTTTCCCGGTACTGGCATCTCTTTAAAGGTTTAGGGTTTCTGCATACCCCATCAACCCCCCTGAGCCCGTAGCCCTCTCAAGCCCCCAAACCCTCCTACATCCCCTTAAGCCCCTGCCGGAGCACTTGTAAACCCTAAACCCTAAACCCTAAACTCTAAACCCTAAACCCTAAACTCTAAACCCTAAACCCTAAACCCTAACTGCCCTAACCCCTAAACCCTAAACCCTAAACCCTAATAAACCCTGAACCCTAAACCTGCCAGCGCGATCTTCAGCAGCTTGCGGCATGTAAGATGTCTGGGACCGGTGTGCAGCAGTTTTTTCACCATTAGAGAAGGGCCCCTAAGCCCTAAACCCTAAACCCTGGCCCAACCAGTAGGAAGTCCCCAGGTTCACAGACCTGAATCCGAACATTGCACCCACAATCTCCCATGCCGTTTGCAGCGTGTTTCTTTAAAGACAAACTAGGACCGGGAGTAGGCCCTTATTTCCTTTGTTTAGGGTTGGGGTTCCCTTCATCATCCCCTTAAAACCAAAAAGGGCACCCTTTTTTATTCCTAGGTTCCTCCCGGGTCTAGCAACAGACTTGCCCGAAAGGCTGCAGAGAGTGCCATGGCCGCGGCATCCTCCCCCGACACGCTGGCGCGTCGGCTGCGGAAGTCCATCTGCTGCGGGTGCCTTCGGGGACGAAGTGAGTCCTAAAAGGTGGGGTCATATACCCTGACTACTATAATTCCTATTCAGGTATATGACTACCATAATGCCTACAAAGGTATATGACAACTATTATTCCTATTAAGGTAATATGAACCATAAACCCTTCTAGGGTTCATGTCGTTCCTAAGGTGGAGCCACTCGAGGCGGGTCGAGGAACCCACACAGGGCTGCTTGGAGCTTCCGAACTTGCCCGAAGGATCCATGTGCATGTATGGTATATATTTTGGGCCTTAAAGGGTGCCTATGTATACCAGCTGTAGGGCCCAAGCATAGACTAGGTACATGGATCCGTGGGGATTGCACCCCCAAACCCTAACCCGCAGTCCTCAAGAGCAACTTTGCGCATCAGAGGCAAGTCCTCACCGGGACAAAGGGAGCCGAGCACTGACGACGCAGAGCTTACAGGCTACTTCACCCACCGATACCTGGCAGGCAGGTGGTTCGACGGTGGCAGGGACTACCTCTTGTCACGTCTGGACCAGATTCAAACCTTCCAGTACAACGCTGCAGATGGCGCAGTGCAGGTTTGGCAGTATGCTTTTGACCTGAGAAGCTTCAGCAAGCGCCCAGAAGACGTCATCGTACTTTACCACTACACCGACGAGCTTGGTTTCCACAACATTGGGAACGTGGAGCAGATGACGGCAGAGCTCTTCGCATCCCTCGAAGACCGGCGAGCGCATTTTGGCAAGGGCATTTATGCCTCTCGACACGAGCCTGCAGTCTGGGGAACACGCCTCCGCATTCTTATGAACGCCTACAGCAACGATGACCCGCTGAGCTTCGATCCAGAAGAAGCAGAGCCTCAGCGAGTGTCTCGCGAATGGGGCAGCACGAGGCCACAGGGCCACCGTGCGGCCTTTTGCATTCCCCTGATCGTGCCGAAGGATATGGCCTACAACATCTTCGAGCGGCATACGCCAGACATGGCTGTCAAGCGAGTGATGGGCGTTGGCGGCGGGGATCGGCCCATTCAGCTCGGTGAAGATTACAAGGGTCGCCCGGTGCACCGCAATCGTGATGTTTGGGTCATTCGCATCCCCAATGACCATGGCGAGGCCCAGCACGCAACTGCAACGGCAGACAGCCTTCTGGATGTGCTGCAGCTGCAGTTGAGAAACATGCGGCGCGAGCTCGGGAGCCAGCACCTCATGACACTCGGCTGCATGACGGTCTTGGCAAGGAGGCTCCAGGGCCAACACAGGCACGAAGAAGCCGAGCGGCTCTACAGGGAGGCCCTGGAAGGATACAAGAGCTCCCGAGGTGAGTTCCATCAGCGCGAAGCAACGACGCTGTTGATCAATCTGTCACTGATCCTGAAGCAGCAGCACAAGCTCGAGGAGGCGGAGGAGATGCACCGCGCGGCCCTCCAGCAGTCCCGAATCGTCCTAGGCGACCACCATATCAATACCTTGACCTGCATTAGCAACCTCGCAATTTTGCTTTCAGCAAGTGGCCGAGACGAGGAGGCAGCAGTGCTGCATGACGAATGTTTGGAGCAGCGCAGGGCAAAGCTTGGCGACGATCATCCACACACCCTGATCAGCATGAGACATCTCTCAGATGTGTGGCGGGCGCTGGGCAGGCTCCAGGAGGCGGAAGTCATGGCACGCGCGTGCCTTCAGTTGACGGCTGCCAAGTTGGGGAAGTCGCACCCGGAAACGCTGAAGAGCACCGTTTTGTTGGCCAGCTTGCTAAGCGATCAGGGTAAGTACGAGGAGGCAGAGCCAATGCTTCGCGAGGCCACAAGCACTTACCAGGCCAAACTTGGCAAGGCGAACCCAAATTCTTTGTTCAGCCTCTCCACTCTGGCATTCTGCCTGCAGAAGAATGGAAAGCTTGTTGCGGCAGAGGTACTCACTCGTGAGTCCCTGGAGTTGCAAAGGACCATTAACGGGTTCGAGTGCACGGGCGCGATCGTTGAGGTGAACAACCTGGCAGAGGTCCTGCGCAAGAAGGGTGAGCTCGGGGAAGCATCGCCGCTTCACCGCGAGGCTTTGGGAAAGGCTCGGGCCCTGCTGGGTGAGTCGCATCAGCTGACGATGACTTTTCTGAGCAATCGCGCAAAGCTGCTGCATGACCAGGGCAACTTGGAGGAAGCGGAGCGGCTGCAGCGCAAGTCTCTGGAGCAACGCCGCGTGAAGCTGGGAGAGTCCCACGTCGACACGGCTGCCAGCATGCACGAGCTCGGACGGCATCAGCAGGCGCGGGGCCACCTGGAGGAGGCGGTGTCTCTCCTTCGCCAGGCTCGGGAGAAGCGGCGGGAGCAGCTGGGTGCAAAGCATCCGGACACGCTCCTCAGCACGCGGCACTTGGCCGCTGCGTTGGACCTGTGGGGTGAGCCGAAGGAAGCCGGCCGGCTTCGCCAGGAGCTGGAGTCTCAGCCAGCTTTGGGATTCAAAGGGGTTGGCTTGGAGTGCAGCCTCCAGCAGCTGAAATGCGCCGGAGCCTGAGAACAGGGCCCTTGCGAGTACAGACTCCGACAAGTCTTGGGAAATCCTGGGAAATCTGCCGGACTGTTGCCTTGAATTCAAATGACCGGCCTCACCAAGTGCATGCTCAGTTTTCCTTCAAAGTTTCTTGTCAGCTGGACCACAAGTGTAGCTGCTGAGAACGCTTCGCCAGTCCAAGCAAAAGCCGGAGCTCGACGTACTCCCCGTTGCCACAACTACGTGGTTAGTTCTCGAGATCGGGGTCACTGTTTGGGTCTATAGTAAGGCACCCTTAACGAAATAATTTAGATAAGTAATGAGAACTACCCACATGTCCTTGAGAGCCCGCAACCCTTCCTGCAGGTGGACGCCATCTTGGCCAAGGACACTGAGAAACTCTAAGCCCTAAACCGTACCCTAAACCTGCCCATTGGCGAGCTTGAGCAGTGATGAGGTCTGAATTAGCAGGTTATCTGCGGTGACTTGTGATGACAACGTCTCAACCCCTGAGCTGCTGTTGCAGTTGCCTTGTGCGCGGCGAACAGGTTTAGGGTGATTAGGGTTTACCGGGTGGGGCTTGGGGTTATTCAGGTTTTCTTGCGGGGTTATCAGAGGGTTCTCAGGGTTGTTGGGGCATTTTAGGGTTTAGGCTTCTCAGCGCTGTGATTCGGTTGGTGGCTCCCTTGGCATGTTGTACGCGATCCGGTCCCCGTCTTGGAAGCGGCCACGGAACGCAGCCTGATGACTTCTTGACAAACTTAGCAGGTTATCTGACAAGACCTGTGATGTCAAAAGGAGGACGCTGAGCTGTGCTTGAATAAGTGGGCTTGGTTGAACCACGGAACGCAGCCTGATGACTTCTTGAAACTTAGCAGGTTATCTGACAAGACCTGTGATGTCAACAGGAGGACGCTGAGCTGTGTTTGAACAAGTGGGCTTGGTTGAACCTGGCGCGTGTGGGGCTTGTAGGGCACTGATGGAGGACATGATCAGATCAGCGTTTAGGGTTTAGGGTTTAGGGTTTAGGGTTTAGGGTTTAGGGTTTAGGGTTTAGGGTTTAGGGTTTAGGGTTTAGGGTTTAGGGTTTAGGGTTTAGGGTTTAGGGTTTAGGGTTTAGGGACGCTTGAGATGAGAGCCTCAGTCGGGACCATTCATTTGCCTGCCGACCGCGCGATGGGACGTCCAGGTGGCCATACTCAAGAGACGTACTGACTCAGCCCAAAGGAATCCCGAAAAACCTTAGACGCCATAAACCTGACCATACATTAAACCCTATTCTACACCCTATTTATACTATAAAGCCCTCCAAGCCCTTTAAACTCCATAACCCCAAACCCTACACCCCTTGTCAAAACCCTAAGCCCTAAACCCTGTAAACCCCCCCCCCCCCCCACAACCCCAAACCCTATAAACCTTTAAACTATAAACCCCCCCCCCCCCCCCCCCCCCCCAAACCCTATAAACCTTAGCAAGTCCAGTCCAGGGCTTGGACAGGAAGAGTGATGCGAAGACCGTGGGTCTTTCTGGGCTTGTCGGGGTGCAGACATGCGAGGCCCAGTGTCGTCAAGGGCTTAGGGCTTGTAAGGGTTTAGGGTGTAGGGGTTTAGGGTTTAGGGTTTGTAAGGGTTTGTAAGGGTTTAGGGTTTATAGGGCTCATGTCGATTCTCTACATGTCTGGTTTAGGTTTAGGGTTGAGGTTGCTGTGATGAGGACTTGCAAAAGAGGCTGCCCGCACAGGAACAATCATGCCGTACAAGAGACTTCTGCGTGATGGTGATAGCAAGCCTGGCAAGAAAACTTGAGAAAGGAGATAGTGACAACATCAGCTATATGATAGCAACCAGGAAAGAGCAATAATAGCAAGAATCATCGGGTGGAGTGCGCCTTATAAATACATAGTATGCCAGAAATGTGCCAAAAAAATCTGGGTATAGTTACCCCCTTGTCGGTTTTTTTTTTTTTTTTTGGGGGCAGAGGGGCAGAGGCCGACCAAGATGCTCCGGGGATTGGGGGGTGGGTTTAAGGTTTGGGTTGAGGGCTTAAAGGTTAGGGCTTAAGGTCAAAATGTTAGAAGGTTCAGGGTCTAGGGCCTGCTGTAAGGTTGTAAGGCTCAGACTTTAGGGTTTAGGGTTAGGGTGTAGGGTGTTTAGGGTTTGATTTGTCCGTGCTCCTTGAAGGCTCAAAGTGCAGATAGTTGAGATCAACTTCAGTTTGTGGCACGTGCAAGAGAACAACATGCCAACAGGTGCGGGTCAGGGTTTAGGGTTTAGGGTTTAGGGTTTAGGGTTTAGGGTTTAGGGTTTAGGGTTTAGGGTTTAGGGTTTAGGGTTTAGGGTTTAGGGTTTAGGGTACAGGCTGCGCCTTGCATTCTCACCCCCAGGCCTTCAGAGACATCAGGGCAAGTATGAACACAACTCAACCCCTAAAGCCCAAATCCTAAACCCTGAACCCTGAACCCTGAACCCCGAAACCTAAACTCTAAAAACCCTAAACCCTGAACCCTAAACCCTAAAACCCCTGAGCTCATTCCGTGAACCTCCCCACAATTCAAAGACCAAAACCGCATCCAAAGTCCGCTTGGCTCATTTCATTGGAATCCTGCAAGACAAGGTCCCTGAAAGGGGTCTTTAGGGTTTTAGGGTTTAGGGCTTAGGGTATTGCAGGGCTTAAGAACCACACCCCTTTTCCGGTAGAGTGCTTCTAGCGCCTCCCGCCATGAACCCGCGCAGCAAAGCACTGAAGGGGTCGACCTGCGCGCAGCGCATTGAGGCCTCCTAGACACCCCGGGGGGTTCGAATCACCCGAACTACTATTTGCTTATTGCAAATTAAGTATTCCTCCTTAAAATATGGGCAAAATAGGCATGCGTTTTTTTCAATGTTGTTGGGGTTCTGAAGCAATTGGTAGCTAAGGGTACCTATCCTGCGGGGGGTCCTTCTTGTTTGGGAGACTGCTCTCTTTGGGGTAGATGAAGGGGTATCCCTTGGGCTAGATCAGTGTTAGGGATCCTTTTTACTTTTTGGGTTTTGGGCTTTCTTATATATGAACAAAAAGGATCCTTTTTTCTTCCTAGGGGAACAGGGATTAAGTGGGGAAATACACATAGTAAGACTAGCCCATAGTACACTCGGTAGTCAACGGGGGAGTTTAGTAAACTAGCCTGTGCTTCAGGAAGGGCTGCGGCCCTGCGTGTGAACTCGCCATGTAGAGATTTAAGCACCAGGATCATATCGGGATTTATTATTTGTGGCTTTGGGTTCAGGAGCCCTAAACCCCAAACCCTAAACCCTAAACCCCCCCAAAGGATCCCCTAACGCCCGAAAGGGCAAAGAGTCGACAGGCTGCTACCACGACGCGATCCCAGGCGCTGCAGCTGCGCTTCGGGGGACTTCAGTCTTTGGAGGGTGGGTGTGTCGTGCATGTTCTATACTTGTGCCTTCTTCACCTAAACCCTAAACCCTAAACCCTAAACCCTAAACCCTAAACCCTAAACCCTAAACCCTAAACCCTAAACCCTAAACCCTAAACCCTAAACCGCAGCTCTCTTCCTGTAAACCCTGAACCCTAAACCGCAGCTCTCTTCCTGCAGAAGATTGAACACTTGCACGTCGATGTCTGCACCTGCAGAACCCAAAACCGTTGCATTGTGTTGCGAGGTTACCTCAGAATCCGACAGGGGATGCTATGCTCTCACCCTAAACCCTACACCCTAAACCCTAAACCCTACTTCCCAAGAATATTGACAAGCCTTAGACTCCCAGCGGGCAGCAATGTTAGGCAATGTTACGCCTGAACCCAAAAGCCCTCGAAGCCCTTAACCCCCCCCCCCCCCCCCAGCCCTTCGTTAGGCCGGAGATGACCACTGAATATGGTTTAGGGTTTGGGGATCCGAAGTATGGGCCCTTAATTTGGGTAACCCTTACATACACTTTACATGATAAGGCCCCATACTTCGGATCCCTGTAAATCCCTTCGAACAAGGGTAAGGGACCATGCTATGAGCCCATGGTTTCAACCTCAGATTCAGCTCCCCTAACTCTAAGCCCTAAACCCTAAACCCTAAACCCCAGACCCTAAACCCTAAACACCAGGCCCTAAACCCTAAACCCTTAACCCTAAACCCTAAGCCCTAAGCCCTAAACCCTGAACCCTGAACCCTGAACCCTGAACCCTAAACCCTAAACCCTGAACCCTGAACCCTAAACCCCAAACCCTGAACCCTAAACCCTAATCAGGTGGTCATCTCCGATCTGGCGTCTGCTGATGCGGAGAACCTTTTTGCGAAGTCGCTGGGCTCAGTTCAGCTTTTGAGTTTCGAGGCGAAGTCGCTTTCAAGACTTCGGTTTAGGGTATAGGGTTTAGGGTTTAGGATTTAGGGTTTAGGGTTTAGGGTTAGGGACCTTGAGGGTCTTGGGGTCTTGGGGTTTTGTTACTCCTTTCCGCCCCCGTCCCAATCCCATATATACAGCCCCTCTGACATGGACCCTAGAAGTAGGCAGGTGTGTGCGGCTTAGCGTCGTCAGATGCAAAAGATGGACCCGGAATGACCAGATGCCAATGTCGTGGGGGGGGATCACTATATCAGGGTTTTACTAAACCCTAAACCTAAACCCTAAGGCAACTCCGCAGCTTAGGTACGACTTCGAAGGCATATCTCTCCTGCCCAGAGGTGCGCTGACGGCCGCTAGGCTGGAAACGGGGAATGCTGAGCCACAACTACTCAACTTCTAGGGTTTAGGGTTTAGGGTTTAGGGACTAGGGTCATTGCCCTGAACCCAACTTTCAACCTCCCCAAAAGGGTTGGGCCTTCTGAACGAGATAGAACGGTTGAGGGCGGGTGCAGTCAAAGTGCAGTCCTTGTTTGGGAAACGTTGCGGCTCAGCATCACTTACTTTGGGAACGCTGCAGGTAAGCCGCGAACTTTCGAACACCCTCCAACTCTGAGTCCTCCAGTCCCCCCCTACTCGTTTGAGCCAGGCAAAGATGATCGGACTGTTGTTTTCCATAGGACAACAGGCATGTGGTGACGAAGAGGTGAGTACAAGGCGATAGGACAACACCAGTCACGGTTCTCTAGGCCCTAAAACCCGAAGTCCTGCCTTAAAGCCCTAGGGCTCCCTAAACCCGAGCACTGAAAAACTCTGAGTCCTTCAGTGTCCTTCCGTCCTCCCCTAGCCCCGAAAAGCGCCAAAACGCAAAGTATTTGAGTCTGTAAATTGCTTCTCCTGCAAACCCTCGACCTTCCCCATAAAAAAACATACTGATCCTGTTTAGGGTTTAGGGTTCAGGGTTTAGGGTTCAGGGTTTAGGGTAGATCCTAGCCTAAACCTTGAACCCTTTGCTCCTGGAACCATGCACCATCCAGCCGCCCCCCAAATATACGTATCCCCTCTGAAGATGTTATGTATCTAAGGGCCGTTACATGGGCCGTTAGGGTTTAGGGTTTAGGGTTTAGGGTTTAGGGTTTAGGGTTTAGGGTTCTCTTAAAAGATTCTGATGTATGGGCCCTTAATTTGTATAGGGTATAAAAGGGGTACATAAGGGTTCTACTTCAAAGGGCCCATTCGAAGGGACCATGTAACTTCCCCCAGACTATCTAGGCACCCTAACTCCCGAGTGCCCCCCCCTCCCCCCCCAAGCCCGAAGGGTTGAGAGCTCAGGGTTTAGGGTTAGGGTTTAGGGTTTAGGGTTTAGGGTTTAGGGTTTAGGGTTTAGGGTTTAGGGTTTAGGGTTTAGGGTTTAGGGTTTTTGGGTTTAGGGTTGAGCCCTGAACCCTTCAAACCCAAACCTTAAGGTCCTGAACCCTAAGCCCGCAACACTCTCAACCCTAAACCTTAAACCCTAAACCCTAAACCCCAAACCCTAAACCCTAAACCCTAAACCCTAAACCCGCAAACCCTCCTCTCGGTGCTCCACCCAGGAGGTTCTTCGGGACATCGGCCTAGAGAAGGCCGCTGCTTAGGGGTTTAGGGTTTAGGGTTTAGGGTTTAGGGTTTGGGGTATCCGCTCCGGGAGAAGACTTAGAGAATGAAGGGCTAGAGTTTAGGGTTTACCCTAAACCCTAAGCCCTAAACCCTCATCCCAGAACTCTACACCCCAAACCCTAAACCCTAAACCCTAAACCCTCAAACCCTAAACCCTTAACCCTTAACCCTAAACCCTTAACCCTTAACCCTTAACCCTTAAACCCTTAAACCCTAAACCCTAAACCCTAAACCTAAAGGCAATGAAGTGCCCATGTGCTCCAGAACCTGACTGGCCACCCTGCGTCAAGAAGTTCTCACCAGTTGCAACGGGGCCCTGTGCTTCCCTAAGCCCTAAACCCGAAACCCTAAACCCTAAACCCTAAACCCTAAACCCTAAACCCTAAACCCTAAACCCTAAACCCTAAACCCTAAACCGAGTTTGGGGGTTTGGGTGCCCCTTACGCGCCAGAAGCTGCCTCAGGTTCTGGGTAGCGAGTTTGCGGCTTTTGCCAAGCTGGCGTTTGACGCCCATTCCGCCGCCGCCTGCTTCAAGGGGTTTGGGGTTTGGGGTTTAGGGTTTAAGGTGTAGGGTTTGGGGGTGATAAGACAAAGATCCTTAGGGTACTGAGCCCTGGTGAACCCTGGTAAGTTCTTCGAAGAAAGGCATTGTATGTCAAACCCGAATAGACTCCGACCTCTTCGCTGAAACCCCGAACCGTGAACCCGAAACCCTCTGCCCTGGCAAATCCTCCGCGACAAAAAGCTGGAATCCTGAACCCCAAACCCCTGGTCTTCTCTTCAGGGTTCCTTCATGAATTCTTTGGTTGCTTTGAAACCTAGAGCAAGCATCCGTCAGCCCCCCAAACCCTCCCGAAACCGCAGGCCGCCCCAAAACCCCCCCAAACCCCCCTCAAAACCCAAAGACCCAAGAAGCCCAAAAGCCCAAAAACCCAAAAACCCAAACACACTAAACACCCTAAACACCCTAAACACCCTAAACACCCTAAACACCCTAAACACCCTAAACACCCTAAACACCCTAAACACCCTAAACACCCTAAACACCCTAAAAACCCTAAACACCCTAAACACCCTAAACACCCTAAACACCCTAAACACCCTAAACACCCTAAACACCCTAAACACCCTAAACACCCTAAACACCCTAAACCCAAACACCTAAACCCTACGTGTGGCCGCTGGGTCCGACTTCTGAAAGCACCCCTAGCCAGCATCTACCAATGCTCCCCGCCGCCCTCCAGTAGGGTTTAGGGTTTGGGGTTTAGGGTTTCGGATGAAGGGTCTAGGGTTTAGGGTTAAGAATTCAGGGCTTACCTAAACGCTGCGCAAGCCCCCAAAATCCTGAAAGCCGTATGTCTTTGAACCCTTGAGGGTTAAGGGTTTATAGGGTTTAGGATCCTCGTGCCCTGCAACCTGAAGCCTATGTCGACTCTCCTAAACTCAGCCCTGAATCCTGACTCGGTAGGTTCCGGGCTGTTCTCAGTTTAATGGTTGTCGGGCCCCTTAGACCCTAAGCCCTATAGACCCTAGATCCCAATACCTAAACTACCCCCTAGGACCGGAGAAGGCCCTTATTTCTTTTTTTGAGGGTTGGGGTTCCCTTAGAGGCCCCCTTACAAACAAAAAGGGTACCCTTGTTTTCCTAGGATACCTCTGGGTCTAGCCCTCAGAAAGCACATAGTGCCTTTCGAAAAGAGCTCGGAAAGCTGCTGTCGGACGGGAGGGGGGGGGGGGGGGGGGGGGGGGGGGGGTGCCCGCAACCTATGAAGTTCTAACTATGTCCCCCTTGGGAATTTTTCTTTTCCTTCATATAAACCCCAAGAGGATATTTAAAATAATATTTTGCTTAAGGTTCTAAGGGGAGTATAGCTAAGTACTTTGAGGGGTTCCGGTTTGTCTACAACGGGAGACTCGCAGCTCGAAACTCAGGATTCCCACTTCCTCTCGCCCCACGAGTTCAAGCAGCTGTACTACCGCCTTCTGCACCGATACACAGACCTCCTGCCAAGGACATGTTGGGTTTCGGGTTTAGGGTTTAGGGTTTAGGGTTCAGGGTTTAGGGTTTAGGGTTTATGGCTCAGGTTCGTTGAGGGTTGAGGAGTTAGGGTTTTTGTTGGGTTAGGACCTTCTGCCACTGATGGGTTCCTTCACTCCTGCAGGAGGTAGGGCTTACTCACTGCGACACAGACTGGGCCCTTATTCCCTTGAGGGCTTTCGGGCTCTACTACGAAGCAAATATAAGTGTAGGGTTCACTTGGGAGTCGCGGCTCTCACGCACCAGCCGAATCAGATCTTCGACGGTAAGGTTGTTCCTTCACCTCCCCGCATCTTACACGACGCTGAGCCCAGGGTTTAGGGTTTATGGTCTAGGGTTTAGGGGGAAACCCAGACTGCGAACTAATCCCCTAAAGCTCAAGTTGTCCTCCCACCTCCCCCCCCGGGCACCCCCACCATAAAAAATGCAACTTCCCCAAATCCTAAGCCGCCACTGTGCTTCGAAGACCCAAAAAGCCCTAACCCCTTTCCACACTTCGACCCTTAAGCCTAAACCCATCATTCCCCACATCCGCAGAAGCCTTAAAGCCATAACCCCTACCATAAAAGCCTATCGACCCCTACACAACCTACACAAACCCTACAAACACCCTACAACGACCCGATTACTTGCATCCTATAAATTCAAATACGAGCCCCATCAACCCCACCCTTTAACCTTCAACCTTCAACCCTAGACCTTAAACCCTACACCCTGAACCCTAAACCCTACACCCTGAACCCTAAACCCTAAACCCTAAACCCTGAACCCTAAACCCTATCCCCTGCAACCTTGCAAAGCTAGAGTCCACCTTTCCCGGCCAGGGCCCCTGCGTTGCGGGTGACGGTGTACTCAGCCAAGAACCTGCCCCCTGCAGACGTCAATGGCAAGGCCGCGCCACGGGGTTTAGGGACTGGGTTAAATAAGCCCTACAACCCACAACCCAAAACCCTAAAACCCTAATTAACACCTTACAACCCAAAAACCCGAACACCCTAAAACCGTAAACCCCTAAAACCGCAAACCCCTAAGACCTTAAACCCTAAACCCTAAATCGCACATCTTGGATGCCGAACAGCAAGCATTTGAGAACCACAGCTTGGTGGGCTTACCCAGACGGATACTGGTTCTGAAGTTAAATGGAATGGGGGAATGAGGTACCATATGTAGTTCCTGTAAAAATTGTGTATATGCATATGTATTTGTATATGTATATGTAAATACATATGTCTATATGTAGAACCAGTAAGTTAGGTACCCCTCACAAGAGCTTATCCAGCGAGGAAAGCCCTGCCTGACCCTAACCTCGAAACCCACAACCCTCCCATACGTCAGGCCTGATCTAAACCTTAATCCCTGAACCCTAACCCTCAATTCCTAAACCCTAAACCCAAAACCCTAAACCCAAAACCCTAAACCCTAAACCCTAAACCGTACCCTGAGGGAAACCTGAACCCCGAGCTGAATCAATGAGGCAAAAATCTGATGAGGTGAGAGGTGGGTTTAGGGTTTAGGGTTAGGGTTTAGGGTTTAGGGTTTAGGGGGAGAGTGGGTCGAAGCACTAGAGAAGGAGCTGAACCCGACGGACTGCTTTCGATTGGGATTCGGGCTCCGGGTTCAGGGTTCAGGGTTTTAGGTTGGGGTTCCGGGTTCAGGGTTTAGGGTTTAGGGTTTCGAGTACCCTAAACCTGGATGCCCTAAACCCTCACACCTACACCCTACGCCCCTAGCCCTAAACCCTAAACCCTAAACCCTAAACCCTAAACCCTACAAACCCTTCCTACCCGGTCCAGGCCGACCCCTACTGCACCATGCAGCTTTCAGGACCCCGCGCTTTGCTGCTACGTTTAGGGTTTAGGGTTTAGGTTTTGGGTTTAGGGTTTAGGGTTTAGGGTTTAGGGTTTAGGGTTTAGGGTTTAAGGCTTAGGGTTTAGGGTTTAGGGTTTAGGGCTTCGGGACTTTGGGGCTTTGGTGGTGCTTCAGAGTTGAGGATCAGGGCTTCGGGTTTAGGTTTGGGGGGGGGGGGGGGGTTGAGGGTGCTTAAGTTCCTGGGATGAGAATTAGGTGCTTTGGGTTTAGGGTTTAGGGTTTGGGGCTTGGGGCTTGGGGCTTGGGGCTTGGGGTTTAGGGTTTAGGGCTTGGTTGTTTTGGTGGTTCAGGGCATCAGGGCCTGGGCATTCGCATGTTAGGGGGCACGGTGTTTTGGCCTGAGACGTTGTGTGTTGGGCCCATTTGGAGGGTGCGGGGAACCCTCAGCCCTAAACCATGAACAGGGTTTAGGGGTTAGGGTTTAGTGTTTAGGGTTTAGAGGGTTTGGAGAGTTTAGAGGGTTTATAGGGTTTAGAGGGTTTAGATGGTTTATAGGGTTTATGGGGTTTATGGGGTTTATGGGGTTTATGGGGTTTGTTGGGTTTATCGGGTTTTGGGTTTAGGGTTAGGAGGGGTATTCACAGAGGTCCCTCTTTTCGCTGAAGCGTTCCTCCTCAGTACAGGACAGCTTCATCACCCGGTCACGAGTCTCGTAAGAGGCTGCTATCAACCGAAAACTTGGTTTATATGGGCTTTAAACAACAAGAACTTATTGTTTTGAAGAGGCTTCTGCAAACAGCAACTACCCCTACAAGTGTCTTTTGCTTCGCAACCTAAGCGGTCGTGCAAGGGTTTAGGGTTTAGGGTTGCTAGGCCGAAGAAAACTCAGCACCCCAACCCCAAACCCTCAATCTCCAATCCCTAGAACTTAAAACTCTCCCAGAGCCAGAGGCAAGCCCCTGTCGCCAAGACGTATACATGCCAGCTCAAGCACTCAAACGCCCTGAAGCCGCAGGTCCTGAATCCTGCGCCCCAAAACCCTGTACCCGAGAGCATGCACCCCAACCACATGCCTAAAGCATCCAAAGGCCCTGAAGCGTCCCACTTACACCCGAGACCTACAGCCGAAGCCCTAAACCCTAAACCCTAAACCACCCTAAACCCTAAAACCCTGAACCCTAAACCCTGAACCCTAAACCCTAAACCCTAAACCCTCAACCCTCAACCCTAAACCCTAAACCCTCAACCCTCAACCCTCAACCCTCAACCCTCAACCCTCAACCCTCAACCCTCAACCCAAACCAGGGAAGCCCAAGACCATGACACGGACGCGGCATGTGGAGAAGACCCTGGAGCCAAAGCGCGGGCGCCGGGTTGTGTTCTTGAATGGCTTTAACCCCAACTTGCCTTAGTATAGGGACGTGTTCTTGAATGGCCTTAAGCCCCCAACTTGCCTCAGTATAGGAACTTACTTAGGGTTTAGGGTTTAGGGTTTAGGGTTTAGGGTTTAGGGTTTAGGGTTTAGGGTTTAGGGTTTAGGGTTTAGGGTCGAGGGTCTAGGGTCTAGGGTTTAGGGTCTGGGGGTTTGGGGCTAGGCCTTATTCGCCTTTTTGGGGGGGTTTAGGTGATAAGCCCCTGGAAACCCAAAAGGTCACTGGTTTGAGTCCCAGGTTGGGTCTTGAGGCTTTTATGGGCTTTTTTGGGCTTTTTGAAAAGTATCGGCTGTGTACAGTAGGCTTTATGGGCTTCACAGGAACCCTAAACCCTAAACCCTAAACCCTAAACCCTAAACCCTAAACCCTAAACCCTAAACCCTAAAGGGTTTAATACTACACGGATGAGGCCCTGGACGTCCCTAGGCTTACTTGGGAACCGGGTGTAAGGCCTCGGGTTCGGCGTACGGCTGTAAGACTTTATCGACGGAGGTTGTTGGGTGCGAGGCCTCGGGGTTCGCCCTAAACCCTAGCCCTAAACCCTAAACCCTAGCCCTAAACCCTAAACCCTAAACCCGATGGTTCGGGGTTTTGAGGTTTTGGTCTAGGGCTTTTCGAGGGGTTGATGGTTTGGGCTTTAGAGAGGGGGCTTCTAAGTGTAGTTACATGGTCCCTGAATATGGCCCCTTGCCTTCTTTACAAGTTTTTGAAGTTCGGGCCCTTGGGTTTTATAGGGAATGTAAGTGGTATATAAGTGCATTACTGTAAGAGACAATGCAACTACCCCTGGATTGGGCTGCTTGGTTAGCAGTCTTTGTAAAGTAGCCTTTCTGTAGTTGCCCCAAGCAGAATGGACAAGAGTTGGGGCTCTTCCCAATGTAATCTACACGCGTAGTTCTGTAAATCAAGGTCCTGTTTCTGGTCCTGTTTATAAGGGCGCTGTATGCTGTAGGAACACCCCAGGAGAGGAGCTACCCACATTGTCACATACATACCTTTGAAAAGGTAGTGCCTGAGTTGTTGAGCAGAAGTCTGACTTTCTGTGAGGCGTACTTGGAGGTTCATGGGAATTATCATCCAGTTATAACTGTACTCATAACCCCACTTATAAGCTCTTTTCATGCCCTAATATGGTTGTAATTGGGTTATAAGTACAGTTATCATTGGTAAATAAGTACCATGAGCCTCCAAGTAGGGTTCGCAAGCTCGCAAGCACGTGCAGTAAGGGGTAAAAGGAGGTACCCCCAGAAGGACCCTCGGTCTGATTCCCCTATATAACCCCTATATAAACCTTATATAGCCCCTATATGCCTAAGTAGCCCCTAAACAACCCCTAAATATAACCCCGAAGACCCTAAACCCTAAACCCCGAAGGTCCTTTACAAGGGTCCCTCCTTTAGCCCCTTGAGTGCAGCAGGTGGGGGGAGGAGCTCACAGGGAACTACGCGTACCAGGTGGGGCTTCCGGGCTAGCCAAACCCCTCCAAACCCTCCAAACCCTCCAAACCCTCCAAACCCTCCAAACCCTCCAAACCCTCCAAACCCTCCAAAACCCTAAACCCTAAACCCTAAACCCTAAACCCCAAACCCCAAACCCTAAACCCTAAACCCTAAACCCTAAACCCTAACCCAAACCCTGAACCCTAAACCCTAAACCCTAGCCCTTGAACCCTGACCTCTGAACCCTGGACCCTGCATGCGGAGGCGAACCTCATTTTCAGGTAGGGTCCCCCAGATCCCAGGCCGAAAAAACAAGGACCCTCCAACAAACTGAGAGAGCTTGGGATGTTACCCCAGATACGGTTTAGGGTTTAGGGTTTAGGGTTTAGGGTTGGTTCCCCCTTATACTAACAATCCTTAATAGGGATTCTGGTACCCCCATGAAAGTACCTACTAAGGACTGTTAGTAAGGGGGTACATCCCAAGAGAGAACCCTTAACAACACCGAATTGAAACTATCTGGGGGTTTCGAAGATTACGAAGAATTGGGGGCTCCCCTTGCTGGGGTTCCTACAGTGCAGGTTTATGTTATGATCATCAATAAGAGATACCCCACCTAAACCCTAAACCCTAAACCCTAAACCCACCGCACCCTAGTTTGGGAAAATGACCATATCTCGACAGCCGGATGTTATCTTGCCTATACCCTAAACCCTAAACCCTAAACCGAAGCCCCGAAAAGGATGCGGAAATGCGACCATAGTATGGGGTCCGAGGGAGGGCAGGGTGAGGCAACTGCGCATGAGCTCTGGAATGACAAGGTTTAGGATTTAGGGTTTAGGGTTTAGGGTTTGCCTCGAAGTGTGCGCAGGAGGGTGATGACTTGCATTTCGAGATCATGGACTACGACCGGGGCAGTGTGGTGGGGGACCTTCTATGCACTTGTGTCATCCCCAGCAAGGACGGACCACTTGAGGGTCTGTACTTCCAAGATTTTGGGTTTAGGGTTGTGGGTTGAGGGTTGAGGGTTGAGGGTTGAGGATTTGGGTTGTAGGGTTTAGGGTTCTATTTGAAGTACCTGCTGCAACCCCACATGGTCCAAACTCTTCCGAGGTTTGGGTTGCTACTGGTCTGGTATGCCAGGGACGCTTGCGAGTTGTATGACTGCAAGTGCATGGACACTTGCAGTACCGAAAGCTGAACTTCTTCAGCTGTCATCACCGTGCATGTTAGCCCCGATGCCGGTAGGGCCCAAGGGTTTGTGGCAGAATGGGTTCATGGGAACTAGAGGTTTCCCACCTAAAAACCTGTAATACTGAGACATCGTCATGTTAAAGCATAAAGTGTAACACTACAAGCAGGGTTTCTCTCCCTGTAGCCACATAAGGAAGAAGATGCCTGTTGATTCCAGAATCTTGTCCTTAGCAATGCTATTTCGGAAGATTTCAAAACCCAGAACCCTCAACCTCATAAACCCTAAAACCCCAAACCCCAAACCCTAAACCCCAAACCCTAAACCCTAAACCCTAACTTGAAGAAAAGCAGCACGTAAGACCGCAAAAGCAACACTGGCAGGAGTTCCACCGACCTGGCGGCTTCGATGGCACCTGGCCGATGACGCTTTCTCCGGAGACGGCGAAGCTCAAAGGCTCTCCCTAAACCCTAAACCCTAAACCCTAAACCCTAAACCCCAAACCCTAAACCTAACCCTAAGCCCTAAGCCCTAAGCCCTAAACCCTATAAACCCTAAACCCCAAACCCCAAACCCTAAACCCTAAACCCTAAACCCTAAACCCTACCTGTGGCAGGATACAGCCCCACGCTGCGGCTGCGAATCCAAGTGACCGCCTTCCCAGAGCCGCCACCGAGGACGACCATCCTCATACGCCTTGCGGCTGCACGTTGGTGGGTTGTGGGTTTAGAGTTCAGGGTTTAGTCGCAACACCTGCTAGAGACATCACGAAAGGGGGTCTGGGGCTTAGGGTTTAAGGTTTATTGTTTGGGGTTTAGGGTTTAGGGTTTAGGGCTCGGACCCAGGGTGGGTCCTTATTCCCCTTTTGTTGTATGGGGCTTAGGTTCCCTTACAAGGCCCTTCTCGAGTCAAAAAGGGTACCCCGATTTATAAGGTTTAGATACTTGGTGGCCTTTTTGCCCTTTTTTTGGAGTTCTAGGTTCCCTTATGAATTGATGTTTATGGTCAGGGTTGAGGGCAGGCTTTTAAGGCTGGAATGTGTTGGGAAAAGCAACCCCGTTGCGTTCCCCTAAACCCTAAACCCTAAACCCTGGCATTCCAAGGGCATGCGGACGGCCTGCCCCCAGCGGATGCCAATGGGAAGTCGGACGCGGGCTTACCCGAAAGGGCTTTTGGTTTAGGGTTTAGGGTTTAGGGTTTCGGGTTTCGGGTTTAGGGTCTAGGGTTTAGGGTATGGGGTGTCTGGGTTGGCGAACGTATATGGGCATGTGCCAAAATATGGGACCCCTTCCATGGCCCAACATACTACAAAGCCTAAACCCCAAACCCTAAACCCTTAACCCTCATTGCGGGACACCCATATGCGCCCTTGAGGCAGTGAAAGTGAGAGTTTTTTGGGAGGGACAGAGAGAGAGAGAGCGAGAGAGAGAGAGAGAGAGAGAGAGAGAGAGTGAGAGAGAGAGAGAGGGAGGGAGAGAGAGAGAGAGAGAGAGAGAGAAAGAGAGAGAGCGAGCGGCTACCCGGCATCCTTGACGGGTTCCGAGGGTTTAGGGTTTATATAGAGTTTATACAGAGTCGATACAGGGTTTTATAGGGTTTAACTGGGGTTTATACAGCGGTTATAAAGGGTTTATTGGGCGTAGGGGTTGGAAGGTTTAGGGTTTAGGGTGCATCATTCCGAGTACCTACGCTGAAACCCGACAGGATCCCTTTTGCACCATCCAGCTTGTGGGAAAGCCCTTCTCCAAGCGGCTTTGTCGGCAGTTGAGGGCTTTAAGCACCGAAACCCTAAACCCTAAAACCCTAAACCCTTAACCCTAAACCCAAGCCCTAAACCCTAAAACCCTAAAACCCTAAAACCTAAACCCTAACCCCTCCTTAAACCCTAAACCCTATACCCCCCAAACCCTGTAAGGAGGCGTCGTCTAGGATGGTGGCGCCCACGGTCTTCATGGGTTAGGGGTTTGGGTGCTTTTGGGGGGTTGGGGTTGAGGGTTTAGGGTTCTTGGGCCTAAGACACTCTATCTCTGAAGCCCAGGTCCTCGACTACCATCAAAGCGCGGACGCTGGATCCTCTGTGGAACGAGACCCTCACGGACAAGCACCGCTACGCCGCTTTCACCGCGCAGTTTGCCACGGTGTCCACACTGAGAGCTCCTAAACCCTTGGACCCTTAAGCGCTTGCGCCCTTACGCCCTTAAACCCTTCAGCCCGTAAGCCCTTAGGCCCTTAAACCCTGAAACCCTTAAACCCTTAAACCCTTAAACCCTGTAACGAAAACCAGGGGGGGGGGGCGTGGTGTAAAGGAGGGGTGGGGTGTAAGGGGTTTGGTGATTCTTGGGTGTCTGGCTTTCGGCTTGCAAGGCTTTAGGCCTCACGACTGCTTCCTTAGGAGGGATGTCGGGGGGTCATTGGACTCTCCCCTTGGACCCCTAAGGTTGGAATACAAGGGCCGTGATAGGAGAATACTAAGCCTCTTAGGGTTTAGGGTTTAGGGTTTAGGGTTTAGGGTTTAGGGTTTAGGGTTTAGGAGTTTAGGGTTTAGGGTTTAGGGTTTAGGGTTTAGGGTTTAGGGTTTAGGGTTTAGGGTTTAGGGTTTAGGGGTACATCCTTCGGGGTCCGAGTATGCCTCCCATCGGGGTGGGGGGGGGGGAGGTTGGGGATTAGAAGTCAAGAGGTTGAAGAAATCAAGGCAACAGTTTGTTTTTTTCAAGCTGTGAGGGCCTGAGGGCCAGCCGTGGGAGTTTGTTCTTAGGATTTTAGGCTTGTTGGTTTTCAGGTTTTTTTCTTGTTTCTTTTTTCAGGGGGGGTGGGGGGGTGCAGAACACTTTTGGTGCCTGAGGTTTTGAGTTTGTGTTGTTGGGTTCATACACCCTAAACCCTAAACCCTAAACCCTAAACCCTAAATCTTAAACCCTAAGCCCTAAACCCTAAACCCTAAACCCTAAACCCTAAACCCTTTTTCATTTAGGCTTCAGGGTTTGGGGTTCAGGGCTTCAGGCGTAATTGCTTGGTGCCAAGCAGAAGAACACTCCACCCTGAATCCCAGCAGAAACAAGCCCAAACCCTAAACCCTAAACCCCAAACCCTGAACCCTTAACCCTAAACCCCAAACCCTAAACCCTTAAACCCTAAACCCTAAACCCTAAACCCAATAGGCCCTTTAAACAGCCTTTCTCTGCAACCTGGTAGAGACCATGACCCATAAACTTCCGTCAGCCCTAACCCGAAACCCTAAACCCTAAACCCTAAACCCTACACCCTAAACCCCAAAGCCCTTTATCCTCCATCCCCGAGGGCCCTGCATGCCCTCATTGTCTAGGGTTCATCAGGCTCTGGTGGTTAAGGTTTGGGGTTTGGGGTTTGGGGTTTAGGGTTTAGGGTTTAGGGTCTAGGGTTTGGGGTTTAGGGTTTAGGGTTTAGGGTGAGGCTTCAGGGAACCGCCACCCCCTGAAGCCCCAAACCAAAAACTGCCGAACCCAAGGAAGCTGGCGACGCGATCTCCTTTAAGGTGGGCCTGTCGGGGCAAGGTTCTTGAGGGTTCGAGGGTTTAAGGTTTAGGGCGTAGGGTTTAGGGTTTAGGGCTTAGGGCTTAGGGTTTAGGGTTTAGGGTGAGGGTTCGAGGGTTTTCAGGGTTGGAGGGTTTGAGGGTTGGAGGGTTTGAGGGTTTGGGTTTACCGGTATAACGCTATAGTAGAACGCAGAACCGTTTGGCAAACAAAAAGGCCGGGGGGGGGGGGGGGGGGGGAGTGCGTGACTTGAGCCAAGGAGAAAAAAGCACATGCTCCCTAAACGTTGAAGCTGAGCGTAGGCATTCCATATCGTGCAGCGTGAACACAACCAAACACTTGCACACGAGACCAGAGAAATCCAGCAACTCAACAGGTTCAGCCCGGTGCACAAGTTAGGCGACAGACGCAAGCCACTCGAGGGACCAAGAAAATAAAAACCCTAAACCCTAAACCCCAAACCCCAAACCCCAAACCCTAAACCCTAAACCCTAAACCCTAAACCCTAAACCCTAAACCCTAAACCCTTAGCAAACCCTAAGCCCGAAACCCTGGCAGTGTGGACCCGAACTATCCAACATGAAGGGAGACGAGGGGAGACACAAAAACACTGGAGACCCGACAGGGTTTGGGGTTTAGGGTTTTGGGTTTTGGGTTTAGGGTTTAATCTCGGCTAGTCGGAACTCCTTAGAAGGAGTAGGGCGTCGGGCTTATGGTTTAGGTCTTGGGGTTGAGGGTCTTTTGGGGCAGTTTCGGGTTTAGGGTTTGAGAACCCTACCAATCCAGCTGCCAGCCTGCCAATTGCCCACACGACAAGCGTGAAACGAATCAACCAAGCACTTAAGCTACCCTACCCCTAAGCCCCTACACACCTAGACCCCTAAATGAAACATCTTGGTAGGTGTGGGACTATGACAAAGCCGGGGGCAACGACCTCCTGGGTGAGTACGTCTTGGAAGGTAGCCATTTCCACAAGCCAGGCAGGGTGCCATTCAGGGCTTGAGGGGTTTAGGATTCTCTTGGGGTTTAGGGGATTTAGTGTTTAAGGGTTTAGGTTCTTAGGGGCTAAGGGCTGAGGGCTTGGGGGCCCAGTTTTTGAGGGGAGTGGGGCTGAACTGTATGTGGGCATGCTGGTATGCTACGCATGAAAGGTACGATACCTGCATGCGTGCAGCTATGCACGCATCTATGGCATCTCTGGGGGAAGATATGGCTTTTTACAACAATATGGGATCCTGAATATAGATCCCCAAATAGTAGGATTCCGTTATCATAAGAGCCCCAATAAGGTACCCCGAATATCGGAAAACTAATACCTTCCTAGTTTGCTTGTTAGGGAGGGGAGGGGAGGGAGGGGAGGGGAGGGGGATCACTACGACCAAGAAAGCAGGTGCCACCTGCGCTTGATCAACCATGAACTCTAAACCTTGGGATGTTCCCCCAAAACAATCAGTCCTTAGCAGGGAGTAAAAAAGGGGGGGGGGGGGGTACTACAATCCCTATTAAGGACTGTTAGTCAGTTAGTCTAAGCTGGAACATCCCAATCTAAACCAGACATCACCTGCGATCCCCAATAGCCTGAACCCTAAACCCTGAACCCCAAACCCTAAACCCTAAACCCTAAACCCTAACCCTAAACCCTAAACCCTAAACCCTAAACCCTAAACCCTAAACCCTAAACCCTGAGCATGTTCTTGCAGCGAGCCAGGTGGTTTCGATGGGGAGCTGCATCTCGGATCATCCTAGAGAGCTTTACTTCACAGAGACTTTGTGACCCCTAAACCCTATAAACCCCAAGCCCTAAACCCTAAACTTCATAAACCCTAAGCCCTAAGCCCTAATCCCTAAACCCTAAACCCTAAACCCTAAACCCTAAACCCTAAACCCTAAACCCTAACCCTAAACCCTAAACCCTAAACCCTAAACCCTAAACCCTAAACCCTAAACCCTAAACCCTAAACCCTAAACCCTAAACCCTAAACCCTAAACCCTAAACCAAAACAACCCTGGGGCCCCTCCCCTGGCGATCGAGGAATCTCCAGTGTCCAGACCCCAAATATGCGCCAGTGCTGAGCGTGAAGATCTTGGTGCGGGAGCTCGAGGAGGTACAGGCTGGGCTCGAGGTACTTCAAGATTAGGGTTTAAGGTTTTGGGTTTAGGGTTTAGGGTCCTCTTTGGGTGACCTTCTGTAACATTTTTCGCGCAAGAAGAACAGCAAGATCCCAATGAATAACGCAAGCCACAGCCATCAAATTCATGCCAAGACTCATTCCTGCTGATGACGAGAGCGCAGAGTAATACCTTTTTTCGTATCAGCAAAGGCGTGTTGACATGCGAGGTAGCCAGAATGAGCCCTGATATAGAAGACACTAAACTTAAACCCTAAACCCTAAACCCTAAACCCTAAACCCTAAACCCTAAACCCTAAACCCTAAACCCTAAACCCTTCGTCCACCGCTTTGGTGGGGGCCCGGTTGTTCACGGCTGGCGGCTCAGGGGTGCCAGGGCTTCGGGTTCGAGCATGTCATCGGCTGCTCTGTGGGCACTTTGAGGGCTGCCTGGTTTGTTAGAGGGCTTTAAGGGGGATTGGGGTTTAGGGTTTAGGGTTTAGGGTTTAGGGTTTAGGGTTTAGGGTTTAGGGTTTAGGGTTTAGGGTCTCATGGCATCAGGCGTATGGGCTGGGATGTTCTCCCTTAGACAAGCAGTCCTCAATAGGGAATATAGTACCTACCTCCTATCGTAATCCCTATGAAGGCCTGTTAGTATCAGGGTGAACATCCCAATGCACGGGGTCTGTCTCCCCTTTTTTTTTGAGAGTTTTTTTTTTGGTTGTGTCTGGGCTGTAGGGTTTTGGACCAAGTCCAGGGCCTATGGAGGCGTTTAGGGTTTAGGGTTTAGGGTTTAGGATTTAGGGTTTAGGGTTTAGGGCTTTGAGATTCGGTCTTAAATCTCGCACTTCAAGGGGAAGCAAATCTCGCATAGGTTCCCTACCATACACCTCATGACAGGTCCTCACTTGGGAGCTGGAGGTCCTAAACCCCCAAAACGCCTAATTAGCGCCTAGATCCCAAGAGAAGCACTAAGACCCCAAACCCCTTCATCTCTAAACCCTATGCCCTCGAACCCTAAACCCTAATCCCTAAACCCCAAGCCCCAAACCCTAAACCCTAAACCCCAAGGCCCTCGAACCCCCAAAGGCGCCCTTTCGTCTGCTGTTGAAAAAGCAGCTCCAGGCGTCGGCGTCCGAGGCGACCGAGGCTGAGGAGCCTGATGCTTGAAACAGCAGGCGCGGATTTAGGGGCTGACCTTAGGGTTTAGGGTTTAGGGTTTAGGGTTTAGGTTTTAGGGTTTAGGGTTTAGGGTTTTATTGGGGTTTTGGAGGCTTTGGAGCTTTTGGGGCCTTTGGGGCTTCTGGGGCTCAAGGGCTTGAAGGGTTGGGGGTTTTAGGGTCTCAGGGTGGTTTAGGAGTCGCATAGGTTTAGGGGTTTAGGGGTTTAGGGTCTAGTAGGGTCTGAAGGGTCAGGGTGATACTCTTCCAGTAGGGCGCGGAGTCCGGCTCATGGTGGTGCGGATGAGGGTTGTAAGGGTTCATGGGTTTAGGGGTTTGGGGTTCAGGGGTTTTGGGTTTTTGGGGTGTTTGGGACAGGTCTTCTTGTGTCCTAATTCCTATGTCATGGCCCTTTAAACCCCCCTGAACCCTTACACCTCCCCCCCCCCCCAAACTAACCTCCTACACGAGAGTTGAGGGTTTTGGGTTTTGGGTTTAGGAGTTCGGGTGGTGGTACTGTCAGTGGTGATGATGGGGAAGACGCAAATAAGACGCATCTGCTGCAGCCAGAGAAAGAAGCTACTGCTACAAGCGGAACCCCAACACCATCCACCCATATAGGCTCCAGTAGCCCCAAAAACCCGAAACCCTAAACCACTGGACACAACATGGTTGTTTTTCACGAACATCGGGGACCCCTATGCAGCAGACCCCCCCCAAATAGTATATAGGATTTCCCTTATAATCAGGACCTCGAAAAGGGAACCACCATCTGCGACCAAAACCTTCTGAGCCCAGACTCCACTCAAGTAAGCAGATGTAGGGTTTAGCCTTTGCGGACCCTGTGGCAAACCCGGCTCCCTCAACCCTGAACCCAGACACGAGTGCCCTTATTAAAGTCACGGAAAACCCCGAGCAAGCTACCGACAGCCTCTCTCTCCTAAAGCAGCTCTTGCGAGGTACAGTCCACTCCTCAACCTTGTAAGAGGTTTACAAACCCTAACCCCAAACCCTAAACCCCAAACCCTAAACCCCAAACCCTAAACCCCAAACCCCAAACCCTAAACCCCAAACCCTAAACCCTAAACCCCAAACCCTAAACCCCTAAACCCTAAACCCGAAACCCCAAGGGACTTAGGACTTAGGGTCCTTCCTGAGCACGTGCATGGCTCTGCGACTCCTGGCCTTGCACGGCTTCGGCCAGAATGCGGACGTCTTCGTCCAAAAGCGGGCCAAGGAGCGTGGCAAAGGGGTTTAGGGTTTAGGGTTTAGGGTTTAGGGTTTAGGGTTTAGGGTTTAGGGTTTAGGGTTTAGGGTAGAATTTTGGTTGCCTGCATTAGCTGATGTGTTTTCGGGCTGACCTCCCCTGGCACCCAAGGTGTCTCCTTTGGGCTTGTGTGTTCCCGAAACCCTAAACCCTAAACCCTAAACCCTAAACCGTAAACCCTAAACCCTAAACCCTAAACCCGTTTGTCTTCGACTTCAGTTCTGAAAGAGAACCGATGTCAACGCTCAGGAGCTGATCCGCAAGCTCAAAGGCACCGCGGTCCTCCACGCCCTCGACGCGCCACACCGGCTGCCCTACGACGAGACTCTTCGAGCCTGGGCCTAGAGCTTGGTTTCTATAGGAGCCCCGTGGGTTTTTGGGGTTTTAGAGTTGCAGTGGTTTTAGGTTTTAGGGTTTAGGGTTTAGGGTTTAGGCAGAAACCCTACAATTCCGCTGCTGTTTTTATTTTTTTTTTTGGGGGGGGGGGGGGGTTAGGGCTGGCGCCCTTGAAGCCCTATGCGCCCTTGAAGCTCTATGTGCCCTGCATTGTTGGGCCTGGCATTTAGGTTTAGGGTTTAGGGTTTAGGGTTTAGGGTTTAGGATGGTTTGGTTTCAGCGCCCGGTAGAGTGTTTTAGGCGTGGCAGGAGAGGTGGATGTTTAAAATGATATATTTCCTGGGTTTCAGGGCCCTACAAGCAGTTTTTAGGGTTAGCAGTAGAGGTTTCAGGGCCGTTTCTGGTGAGTGCTCCAACTTATGATCCCTGTTTGAAAACAGGGACGATAATTTAGCATATGGAGGTTTCCGAAATTAGGGGTACCTTGTTGGGGTCCTCATTTTACAGGAATCCTGGAATCCTACTATTTGGAGATCTATACTGGGGATCCCGTTATTTCGTAAACCCCCATATAGAGTTTCCAGGGCTTGGATAGTTTAGAGAAATGAGCCCTAAACCCTAAACCCTAACCCCTAAACCTTAAACCCTAAACCCCTAAACTCTAAACCCTAAACCCTGAACCCTGAACCCTAAACCCTAGACCACATTGAGGGCTTAATGTTCTTATAGGTTTTCTAACCGGCTCACCTGACCTTCGCGTGGAGAGCATGTCTTAGACGTGCCTCCTTGGAGGTGATCCCCCCTTCAATTTGTCCATTTTGTTTTCGCGCCGGGGGTTTTTAGGAGGCTTAGGGTTTAGGGTTTGAGAGTCTTGGGGCTTTTGGGTTGTAGCGTTTCGGCTTAGGCCCGAAACCCAAAGCCCTAAACCCTAAACCCCAAACCCTAAACCCTAAACCCTAAACCACCTGATCCTCGGGGGTAATCTTGAGGAGGTTGGTGGCTCTACGGTCCGGAGCTTTGGGATGGCAAAGCAGTCTCCCGGCTTTTAGCTTTAGAGTTTTTCAGAGTTTCTAGGGTTTCTAGGGTTTTTAGGGTTTTTTTAGGGTTTTTTTAGGGTTTTTAGGGCTTTAAGGGTTTTTAGGGGCTGTAGGTTTTTTGGGGTTAAGGGTTTTTGTTTTGAGTTTTTGTGCTTTTGGGATTTGTTGGGTTTTTGTTAGGGTTTAGGGTTTAGGGTTTTTAGGTCTGCTTAGGTTTTGTAGGGTCTTTAGGGTTTTTAGGTTGGTTAGGGGTGTGGGGTTGGGTTTTTTTAAGTTTTTTTAGGGGGCTCCGAGGCAACTATGGCGTGCATGGGGGATTAGGGGCTCAGAGGGTTATGCTATGGCTGCGAGCGCTACTAGCCCTAAAGCCTAGGCAGAACTGCCCAAGCCCTAAGCCCTAAACCTAAACCCTAAACCCTAAACGCTAAACCCTAAACGCTAAACCCTAACCCTAAACCCTAAACCCTAAACCCTAAACCCTAAACCCTAAACCCTAAACCCTAAACCCTACAACGACAGGGCCACCCCAAAAAGAAGCACGGTTTCCTCAGGAGACCATCCAGGCCTTGGCCGAGAGGCTCCTGCAGCAGCCGAGCTTCCGGCCCGAGGGCCTGCAGCAGAGCGGGGGCCCCATTTTTAGGGGGTTTAGGGTTTAGGGTTTAGGGTTTAGGGTTTAGGGTTTAGGGGTTAGGGGTTTAGGGTTTCGGGTTTCGGGTTTAGGGTTTAGGGGTTTAGGGGCTAAGGTTTCGGGTTTCGGGTTCAGGGGTTTAGGGGTTTAGGGGTTTAGTGGTTTAGAGCTGGGCCCCTATGGGTTAGGCTTTAGACGTTTTGGGCTGCAGTTTCTTTTTCTTTTTTGGGGGGGAGGGGGGGTTTTGGGGGATTGAGGGTCTTATACTTAGGGTGGGGGGTTTAGGGTTTTAGGATTTAGAGTTTGGGGGGTCAGGGTTTCCTTTGTTGAGTTCCTCTAGTCCCCAAGAGTTAGGCAACGTTTCCCGTCGGAGTGGAGGGAGTTGAGGGAGGGGAGGGGAAGGAGTTTGGGGGGGGGGGGGGGGGGGTGGTAGCTGGTTTAGGGTTGAGCATTTGTGGTTTCAGGGTTTCAGGCTCGGACGGGGTTGGGGGGTTTCCTGGTTGAGGGATGGAGGGCTGAGGGTCGCGGATTTGCGGTTGAGAGTGAATGGTGCAGGGGCTTTCGGGTTTGGATTTCTGCTGCTTCAGTAGCCCACCCTGGTACCTTGACAAAGGGTTCAAACAGTGGTTGCCGTATGTCTTCTAGGTCTCTAAGTATCTGCTTTATGTGGGTGCCTGGATACTCTTGCTAGTGTACACAGGGGTTTGGAGGAGATCTGTAAGTAAGCTCAGACTTATTTCAGTCTGACCACCCTAAACCGTTAACCCAAACAACTGAAACCGAAACCCCAAAACCTGACACCCCAAACCCCAGAAGTTTAAACCCCCCAAAACCCTAAACCCTAAAACCCTAAAACCTAAGCCCCAATACCCTGAACCCAAACCCTAAACCCTAAACCGACCCCAAACCCTAAACCCTAAACCCGAAAAAAGACCCCTTTCCAAGGCATGGACCTTGTACTGGCCGAGTGGGAGAAAGGCTACGACGGCATCCTCGGGCGCGGAGCTCAGTTTAGGGTTTAGGGTTTAGGGTTTAGGGTTTAGGGTTTAGGGTTTAGGGTTTGTTTAGGGTTTAGGGTTTAGGGTGTAGGGCTCGGGGCTCGTAATTCTAACTTAACAACAGTATCTGCGTACTGGGGATAGTAGTAGTCTATTCATGTATGAAAGGAAAAGCCCTGTATACGGTTTAGGGTTAAGGGTTTAGGGTTTAGGGTTCAGGGTTTAGGATTGAGCGCTAGGGTTTAGGGCAACCTCTGACGCGCCAGGTTCTCCCAGGGGGCCATCCTGGGCGCGGCGCTCTGCGCAGAGCTCCAGCGCCTGGGTCGGGCCGCGCCACCTTCCTGACATCAAGGGGCCAAAGGAGGGACCCTTGTTAGGGGTTGTTTTTTAGGGTTTAGGGCTAGGGTTTACGGTTTACGGTTTACGGTTTAGGGTTTAGGGTGTAGGGTTTAGGGTTTAGGGTTTAGGGTTTAGGGTTTAGGGACAGGGACGTTAGGGGGTATTTAGGGGATATTTAGGGAGTTTAGGGGACTACTTAGGTATCTAAGGGCTATATAAGGTATGTGTATATAGGGGTTTATACAGGGGAATAAGACCCCTTCCTGGCATCTTTTGAAGGGGGAGGGTCCTTGCAAATCCCAAGTGAACCCTAAAATTGGGGTCAGATACCCTGTACTATGACAAATCGTACTAGGGGGTTTACTACTATGTGCTTCAGCAACCCCGCCAACAAAAACAGAAAGA